AACAAAACACTGAAAATACTAAAAAATATTTTGTATGTCCAATAACATCACATTGAAAATATTGAATTTAAATCCTAATTTGATAAAAAAAAATAATCTTAAATCTATCTAGTTAGCTATCTGTGCTCGGTCTATCATGGGTAATAGAACTCCAGATTTTAGCGTTGAAATATCCACACACTTACTCCTTGACCTGCCGGAAGACGGCCCTAGTGGCACAGCGGTATGTCTGCGGACTTACAACGCTAGAAACCGGGTTTCGATACCCATGGGGGGAGGGGGCAGAGCACAGATAGCCCATTGTGTAGCTTTGTGCTTAATTACAAGCAAACAAACTTGCCAGGGGAAATAAATATACACTTTGAAAAATTAAATTATCTAAATATAAACATTATAACTTAGCATGCTGACGTCATAACATATTCTAAAGATTTCTTCTTGGTTTTACGACCCCAACAGTAAAATAGATCATTGAAGGAATATTTGAGGGTATTTTGTGACCTAGCCAAATAAACAAAAAGAAAAACAACTAAGCTTTAACAGCTGTATTAGCCTGCTTCTTAGTTTTCGTTAACCCTCGAGCTCGTGGGTTACCATCTTGTATCAGAATTTCAACTGGCCGCTATTACAAATTACATGTATGTGTTTTTCTTTATGTTGAGAAGTTTCCAGTGTTCATTACACAACGCTGCCAGTATTCTATGTGAAACGCAAAACATACAAAGCCCTCAGCTTAGACTTTATGTATTAAAAATACTATAATAATTAAAAACACCACTATAATTATAAGAAATAATTTATGTACCTAATGAGGCTTGCAATGTCAATTAAAGCAAAATAGTAACATAAAACAGGGCCAAGCGAGTCACCTAACTTTCGTGAGGCAAGCATCTTCCCAAACTGAATGTCAAAAATTTGTATATGTATATGTATTTTTTATATAATTGCATGTTGCTTTAATTACGAATTAATTGTAATCATTTTATAAATAATTGGCTACATGCTATTCTTCTGAAAGCGATGATAATGAACAATTTAAAAATAAGAAACAAAACAATAAGCAGTGATTTTTTTTAATAGTATAGTGTTAATTTTTCTTTTAAAAATGTTTGTGCTTAAACATTCCTCAACAATTTGGTGAGGCATTTGTCTCACTTGCCTCTACGTAGCTATAAGTTATACAATGAAGGGATATGTATTTCACCCAAATTCCGTGAACTTAGCTCATAACCATCAACTCTGAAGTTAACCAAATTTGGTCAATATTTAGTGTTGATTTTGTGCCCCAGATTCTAAAATTTGTGCTGCACCAAAACCAAAATTATGGGGCAATATTCCCGGGGGGGAGGCTAAATTCAGTCCACCCCCCCAAAAAAAATCCTGATCTATATGAACCTTGACACATATTTACTGCTGATTTTGTACCGCAAATTTCAACATTTGTATTAAACCACAAAGAATTATGGGGTAGTCTTTGTAGGGTATAACTTCACTTCAGTCCCCCACTGACTATGATCCACATGAAACATGCAGTGCTGATTTTGTGTTTCAAGTTCCATAATATGAGCTGCATTAAAATTAGACTTACGGCGCAATTATTCTGTGGGGGTAACTTCACACCATGTACTCACACTGACTCGAATCCACATGAAACTTCGCACACATTTTATTAATATAGAGTGTCAATAAAGTCTGGAATCAATGTAAACTTATTTTATTTGAAACGTTTTTTTATTATTATTATTAATTTTATGTTTTATTCTTTTTGTTGCAGGTTTGTGTTGTCCATACGTAAAAATCACGTCGTTAATCTTACAAGAGTTCGTTGAAATTATCCTGTTGTGTGGACGTCAAGTAAGGACACAGAGAAAAATAGCTGCG